TTTGATTTTGAAGGGCGAGGTCGACCTCCAGCAGCTCTTCAACATCACCGAGGAGGGCGAGACGCAGTTCAACCAGCAGCTCCTTGAGAATCTTTGCAGGCAGATTGGAAACCGGAAGGCAAGGATTAGACGAGTTTCCAAAAATTCACGTATCCTTTTAGGTAGCAGTTATATCAACAGCAGGAAAGTTCCGTCAAGGCAAAACCTTCTGGAACAATGTCTTGCTCCGAGCTCTTCAGCGGGGCAGGGCTCGATTTGAGGACTTGGAATATATTGGGTAAGTCGATTGACCTAAGCCGTCGCCTACGCACAACTTTTTTTAGTGGCCGTGATGGTATCCGATTCCGCAGTGGCTACGTTCGCCACACACAAGGCATCATGGTTTGGCCTGAAATCTTCATCCGCAAAGAGGCTGACGGTACTGAGGTAATCGCATAAGCTTATTTAAAAAAATCACTTATGCTTTCAAGCTCGCTATCATGCTTCTCGACACACAAGGTACCTTCGATAACTGCAGTGACATTGGAGACTCTACCGTCATCTTCGCCATCTCCTTGCTGATGTCGTCTTTGAACGTAGGCTCCAGCCTCTCACCCACCTAACCTCCATTTCAAGGTCTTCAACACCAAGAACCAGATCGACGCCCAGGACCTTGATGCGCTGAACTGCTTCATTTCGTTCAGTCAGAAGAGCGATGAGCAGATTGGCCAGGTACGACTTTTGGTCAATCTATTATTCTGAATTTCTAGCACTTCCTGATCATGATGCGCGACTCGAATGAGGCCGGCCTGAGCCCTGATTACCTGGAATTGCTAAAGGTTGGCTCTTCACTTCGCTGCCAAAAACTGTAACGTTCCAGCAACAAACTCGACGCGCACCCCAGCTACATCAGCTTTTAAACGGAGTTCTGAGCGCTTTCGAAAAAGTGGATTGCTACAAGATACCGACACCCTCGGAACATGTTCGCCAGGCCAGCGGGGAGATCCGAGCCGGGGGTAGGCAATTGATTGTGGCGTCCACTAACATCTAGCGCGCTTGATGTATGGTTCAGGAGTCTAGGCAAAGGTTGCTTTCAGATTGCGGCGAGAACTTCCTTGATTCCCTTTGTGCATGCGCTGACTACATCCTCGATAACCTACAGCCAAAGACCGTGCTTGGAACCGCCTTGACAGGCGCGACATTGAAAGAACATGTTGAGGTAAGTAAGAGCCTTCCCAAAACATATTATTATCCATTTAGAACCTGGTCACCCACATCAAGGACGGCCATCACCGAGCCATCGGATCGGCCTTCACCGTGAGTTCTATCGTTCAAAATTATCTAATACGACGCCTATGTATAATCCTGATCCTAACCCGAAATTTCAGGCAACGTCAAGCCTCTACTTCGAGCGCGCCCGCAGTGCCGGAAATGAAACTTTCTCTGATGCCTACGATAGCGTAAGCCGGTCCTTAGTCTCAACACACTATTTGCAACTTTCAGTACGCACGCCAGAACGGCCATCGTGCCTTGTCGCCTAAGGAATACGACGCTAAGCTGGAGGAGCTCATCGAAGAAGCGATTCAGGTAATTTACGTAATGTTCCAGGCTCTAACGAGATTTAGGCATACCGTAATTGCCCGCTCTTTGGCAGCCAGGCCGACAAGGTCCGGGAATTCGACCAGTTCAAGCGATCGCTGCAGGTAAGGCTTAAAGTATCAGCTAATACTTTGATTTTAAGGAACGCTGCAAGGAGAAATCGATCAGCAACAAGGATCGATACCGCGATATGTTGATTGCGGAGGCTGTCAATGGAGGGATGGGGATTTATGAGACGGAGATGAAGGTAGGATAATGGCTATCTTTCTGTATAGCTCTCTCTCTCTCTCTTGCTCTCTCTCTAGCTCTCTCTCTCGTTTTAGATAGGCATTCCTTTTAGCCGAGCATAGAAGAAATCCTCGCCTCCGGCAAAAAGGGCCAAGACGCCGACCGGAAGCATGAAGCTGCCTTCTCGAAAGCGATGGACCACTTTGACAAGAGTAGGAATTATCGATCAAAAATATGCGTTTAATTTCCAGCCGTCGTCGAATTCGCCGACGAGGTGGAGCTGCTCGGCTACAAGCGTCAGCTGCTGCACGATATGATCACGGTAGTTAACCAGAAACCTCAACTATGTATAAGATTTTAGGCCCGTTTCGACGACATCCAAAATGAAAACGCCATCATGAAGGCTCAGGATGCTGGGCACCAATTCTTCGAAGAACTTCTCCAGGATTATGAAACGCGTCTCAAAGAGGTAGCTAGATCTTTACGGTCTCCTCAAAGAAATTCCTAGAAACTTACTGAAGTGCAAACCTCCGTTCAAGTCGAGAACATCCTAGAAGCGACCCGCTCGTATTGTAGCAATGCGTATAACGTGAAGAAAGTAAGTTACAATACTGTACGATATAGTTATCTGACTCGACTTGATTTTAATTGATTTAATATGACAAATTTACAGTCGCAATTCGTTACCGAGGTTCGAGTGTCCCTCAAAAACATCAAGGTCGAGCTGCTCGAGCAGATGCTGGACAACTACCGCGAGAGCATCAACTATCGCTTCAAAGTACGTTTACTATAACAATTTATAACAGTGATTCCAGAAATGCGAGGATGATTTTGCTCACCACGCCAGCACCAACTTGAAACTGCAAGGCATCCACCAGAAGCTCTCCGAAAGCAAGAAGAAGCAGCAACAATGGAAGAAGGAATTTGGGCAGCAGATGTTCCAGCAAAAGCAGGCTAACAAGGAGCTTGAGAAGAAACTTGGTACGTCATTAAAAGTTTAACTTTATAAATTTTTGACGTTTTCAGAGCAGCAAAAACAGGCGTCAGGCGTCGACCCAATGATGATGATGATCCAGCAGATGAATGAGGCTGCAAGGCGGTGACTTTCGTTTTGACGGTTATTAACTGTCAGAATTTCTCTTTAGACAAGACGAGCGCGCGAAGCAGGATCGAGAAGCTCGGGAAGCCCTGGAGGCCCGCCGGGAGGAGGACCGAGCCCAACAGCGACGCATGGAAATGGAAATGATGAGGATGGTATGGCATTTTTTCGACCCACACGCGAATTGCAGGAACGCGAAGATCGCGCCCGCCAAGAACAAATTCGCGATGAGCAGCGCCGTGAGGACGAAAGGCAGCGACGTGAGGACGAGCGAGTAAGTCACACCCTTCCTGCTTCGCCTAGCCAGAATACTTTTCAGGTGCGCCAGGAGGCTGCTGAACGTGTGCGCCAGGCTGAACTTCAGCGCCTTGCACAGGGTCAGCAAAAGAAAACTGGCCCTTGCTCGATCATGTAAACCAACCTATTGTCCTGCGATATGGCTATTTTCCCGCAACGGTTTGATTGCTAACATTTACTTGTTTTCCAAGCCGATGATGTTTATTCATGTCAATAAATTCGTTCTTCGTTTTCCTTTCTATCCCTGATAGTGGATAGTGTCCCCAGGTCTCTATTTTTTTTCTGGGTTTACTGATATCGCTTGCCGTAATTTGTCAAATTTCATTAGGGATGGCCCAGATGCCAGCAGCAGAGCGGTCGCTGGTGAGTTGTTTTTGTTGTTGCTTTGGTGTGAACCCCTTTACTTCTTTCTTTAGAATCCATTCAGCCCCGAACTAGATCATCCGGAGAACTGGATCCCGAATCGGAGCTCGATCGGCAGGTAGGTTTTTCAGAAATGCGAAATATTACTTGTATCTATCAGCGGGCCGGAATCTACGCTTACACCGAGTATTACGTCAGGCATTAGTGAGGTAGAAAAATTGGAATTGGGTCATAGATTCAAGTTCCAGCATGATCCCGCATACCGGCTGCTTATTAACAATGTGACGCGCTCACTGGTACAGGTATGGCCATTTGTATCAAACAGAAGATGTGACTGATATGGCTTATTCGAAAAAATATTTCCAGCAAGGCATTGTCGGACCGCAACCTCCAATTCAGTCGCGCGTCGCATCGAACCCCTCGGAGCATGGCAGTGTAGGGTTTTCTTTCTTACTTACGGCTCCTAACTTTCAGGACGCCATATACCCGGGTATGCAGGTTCCGGTGAACGATCTGCCGCTAACACCACAACCGTCTCGGTATCGTAATTTTTATCCTTCAAGCTGACTATTTTCGGCCTTTGGGCCCGTCTTTTTCCGTAACATTTTTCCCTGGGCTCAAACAAGCCTCGCAAAATATTATTTGAACGGTTTTTCCAGACCGTCGACTGCTTCAAGCCGTCACTCTTTTCCTGCGGCTGACGGACAAACGAGAACCTCCACGCCCGCAAATGTACCGGTTTGCTGGAATTTTCTTGGGTAGACTTTTGTGTAGAACGAGCTACGTCACCGCTTCCCTACGCCAGCAGCACAGGTAGGGAATATCCGAATTTCAAGAAACTAGGAATTCTTCAAGCGAACAATAATCAACTATAATAATTTTGCAGTGGTGTCCGTCCGTCCGTCCATCTGTCTGTCTGTCCGAAGCCAACTATAACTCGAAGGGGAAAAGAGGTAGAGCTAAGGTCTCTTCGGATTCGGATAGAGCATGGTCAGAAACCCCTAAAATGATGAAAATATTATGGGTTAAAATTTTATTGATTGATTTAAAATTTTCGCTTAAATAAAAATAATTAACTTTGAAAGCGGAGCCTTAATAAAAGGAGTGGGGGACCCTCTCCCGACAGGCCACGCCCCGTCTCCCAGCCCCCCTTCACCAGGCCCCTTCCCCGCGCCAAGATACCTTTTTTGAGTTATTTTAGTACTTTTTGATTATTTTAATTCATTATTTGAATCCTTTAAAGCATCTAAAGCCATCAGGAAGGTATATAAGTTTTTGCGGGGGTTTGGCTAGAGGAGGTCCCTGAAGCGATCAGCGTGGGTATTGATGAAGGTAGAGGTGTGATGTGGTAGAACATGGAGGGTAGCCCGAAGGCCAGCCGAAGTCGCGAAGCGGCTGTAATCGGCTGGTAATGCTATATGTGGATAATTTATAGATGCCCGCCCAGACAAACGGAACCGATGCTAATGCGCCGATATGTTGGGTTACGAACCCTCAAGTGGGCCAGGTAGGAGTCCGGAGCACAAACATCCCACAACTATCCCCGGCATCAAAAATGTCAAGGAATAATAGCGATATTCTAATTTCAGCCTGCCCAGTTTATGCTCGGCCCAAACGTGTACAGTGTGATCGTCGTGACCACCCAGCATATGCAGATCATATGCGGTGGACTCGCACTTCTAATCTTCCTTTTGCTAGTGAAATTGATGACGAAATAAACGCATCTGTCGAGAACGTTTTTGTTCATTAAAATTTGCTAAAAGATGATAATTTTTAACAACAAAAATTATTTATTTGTCAATACGGATTTCAATCAATAAGTGTCAAGACAGACAGACAATAAAAAGATGCAAATAATCTCTCTCTCTCTCTCTCTCTCTCTCTCTCTCTCTCTCTCTCTCTCTCTCTCTCTCTCTCTCTCTCTCTTGAAAATTTCGGCCAAAATTGCGATCCAGTGGTTATTGGCTTTGCCCCTCATTGAAGTTAGCGCTGCATTTTTATTTCTATTTACAGGGTGTCCCAATAAAAAAGGTCACGCTGGCATTTTCTCATTTCAAATCCAATTGACCTGAAATTTGGAACAGAGCTGCGGAAGGGAATTTAAAATGTTCACAGAAACTTTCAGCCCGATCGGTACAGTAGTTTTCAAGTTATAGCAAAAATAAACTTTATTTTACGTTTTTAACCTGGATTTCGCCAGAATTAAGCCTTGTAATGTATGGCAAAAATGAAGCGCCGACCCTTTTTTACCCCAGAAATTTTTTATTTCGAGAAATTCCTCTTGGAAATAGGTTGTTTAAGTAATTTTAACAAGGTGTTATCATCCCCGATGTTCAGAAGAATGAGGGATTTAGGGCCGAAATTGATGGTAATTGATGCAAAGTCCAAAAAAATAGCCGAAAAATGGCAGCAAAGGTGTTGAAAAAACAGTATTTTTGTTATAAGTCGAAAACTACTGTACCGATCGGGTTGAAAATTTCTGTGAACATTTTAAATTCCCTTTCGCAGCTCTGTTCCAAATTTCAAAACGAACTGATTTGAAATGGCGAAATGCCAGCGTGACCTTTTTTATTGGGACACCCTGTAGTAAAATTGTTCCCGGGCATAGTGTTTATTGCTGCCATTACAAAGCAAATCAGACCATCAAATTCCATCAGCAGCTTTGGTCAGGTCAATAATCGTCGTTTGTTCGGGAGCGCTCGGATTATTGCGAGATTCAGATTGAATTTCTGTGGTCGTATCCCCGGGAGTTCGGTAGGAAACAAACGCGTAAACCCACGCCTAAACACGCACTGTACGGCCACAACAAAATACAGCGGCCTGAAAAAGGGATTATAACCGACATTTTCAAAGCCATTGCAACCAGAGACGAATTTTGGACGGTATCATCCGAAGCGACCACCTTTTCAGCGCTCGAACCCCCCAGAAACTCACCAGCATCGCGAGCACTGTTGCAATGATTGAGGACCGGTTGTAGGAGCTAAAACGATGCAAAAATCCGTCGGGGTTTGGCTCACCTTTTGGTCGCAGCGACATTTGGCGGCGGTCGTTGCTCCAAGCGTACGATGGCGGCCTCCAGTTCACCCTCAAGCGCTAGCAGATCCATGCCCTCGTATCCCTTCAAGTTCCAGAAAGCGTTACATCGTTTAAGGCACTGGTCACTCAAGTATTTTGCCGTCGCCTCGTCTCGCACGTCTCCCTTCTAAAAAAGCAATCTAGGCTAGGCGGTTAATAGAGCTACCTCATAGCAATGCTTTAGAATCGCCAGTTCTCTCCACATCTCATCTCTCCCAGCCTGGAGCGGGTCAATGCTGTGACGCTTGGCCTCTTCTAATTCTTGCGCTCTGCTTGGAAATTCGTGTTTTTGTGGAATGCTGTTCTCAATGGCAGGGCCAAGGGTCCCATAATTGTTCATTGGAGTAGTCTTCTGCCGCGACCCTTGCGGCTCCGGATTCGATGGCGGCGCATAGGCGCTAGGCGGGCTTGGCTGGACATGCCAAGCCTGCGACGGCAACGCCGAAATGTCCGGGTGGTATTGAGTTTGCGGATCCTCCAATAGGTCTTCGTAGCGTTCAATTTCCGTGATATCCGATTCTACATCACTTTCTTCGTCTGGTCGTTGTCCCGGTTCCATTGCCAATGCGATTTCGCGCTGAAAGCAAACCTTTCCTGTTAGTATGCGAACTAGAAAGTTTTGAGCGAAGAAACCGGGCCGGATCGATCGACTTATCGAACAAATTAAATGAATCTTAATACCTTGGTATGCGCTTCGTAGTCAGCCTGCAGTTTTTCCAATTTTGATTTGCTCTCCCGGTCCGCCACAAATCGTTCCGCAAGCGATTGAGCTGTATTCTAAAATTCCATTTTTGATCTTTGCAACATAATGAATGCCGACTTCCAGGTGTTCTGCTGTTTTCTCTCGTATCTTCACCACCGTCCCCGGCTCAAAGCCCAATTGTTCCAAGGCGTTTTGCAAGTTAGAAGTGGCGAGACGTTGAGCATTTGCAGCGGCCGGTTGTATTTCCACTCCACACGATACTTCCTATTCCCTAGTTATCCCTTGGGTTCTTTTTATCGCAAACCTTTTCCATCTCGATCCGCATATCTCGATCCGCGTTGGCCACAACAAAATTCAATTGTAAATTCCGCATTTGCTCGTAGCGCGCGACAATGAAGTTCTGAAGCAATTGGTTTTGCTGTAGGGGCTCATCAATCTTCTTACATGGATTTTTTGAGCCAATTCATGTTTCTGAATTTCGGAAATTTCTAGGTTTAATGGGATTCTTGCGGCAGCATTTTGACGAGTCATATCGAGTAGGGTATACACATCCGTAATCTGGAAAGCCTCATTTTCCCATTTCTGCTTTTAGGGTTTCTTTAGCCCCCTTTTCCTACCGATGTGATCTTCTCCATTTCTGACGATAGGAATTGGCCTGATATTTGTTGCCCTAGACGTTCGTCTTCGGCAGCTTTTAGTTCGTAAAACTTCCCCGTTGCTATCTCCTAAATTTGGCTACGAGTTCTCAAACGCTCTTAACTAGTTTCCCTTTTCATACCTTCGACTTTTCCCTGAATAACGCGGCGGCTTCCTCGAAATCCGAGGCCTTCACCATTTTATGAACCTTTTCGAGCCCTTCTTTTTCGGCAGTTCCACAGTCGTGATGAAAGGCTTCGTACGTCGTGTTCTGCCAAAAGAACTTATACTTCGCGAGGCTGATACCTTAATTTTCTGAAGAAAAACTTCTAGCGTTTTGTTGACGGCAACAAGGATGCTGGCCTCTCGTATGACCTTTAAAATTAGACGCTTGAATTTAAGCTTTTTCATACCTGAACGGTCGAGGCTCCAATTTGCGGGGCTTTGTTGGTCAGAAAATCAGCGACTTTCTAAACCAGAAATTTTATTTCATTCGATTAACTTACCATTCCCAGCTCAAGATAATCCTTCGTCGCATAGATATCTTGGGACCATGTTTCGATATAGCTCTGGACTTTGGCCAATTTTTTAATGAAGGGTTGATCTAAAAACAGGCTGGAAATACGTAGCCCTGATATTTTTATCTCCAAGGACGTTTGAAACTCGCCTTCACGTTGCAATACCAGACTGCCGCTAGCCACTCGTAAATGCTGATTCGCCATCGGAGCGCAGACACAGTACATCTCGTTTCCGAATTTCTCGTGCAGAGCAGCTGAGATTTGTTTCAGGTCGGAAGCTAGCTCGCATTGAGCCTAGATTTGGCCTTTCATGGAAAAGTAGGGCAACTAACGAAGAGATTCTGCAAAAATTCGGTGTCCTGATCTGGGTACGGCGAGTCGCGAATGAGGAAGAGGAATTTCTGAAATCGGATTTTTGATAAATTGCTCTCTCTCTCTCTCTCTCTCTCTCTCTCTCTCTCTATCTGCCAGGGCTCTATCTCAGAAATTTCGATAAGACAAACCTTTGGAAATACAGCCCCCTCAAACGCTTTCGCAATCTCGGTAAACAGGTGTAAATCTTGTAGCTTATCGGCTTCAACGTTCCCGCGAAGGTTCAGGATCTGAATTTGAAATATGATTACGTAGGTTCGATTTTCTACTACCTGAATATCAGCCAAAAGCAGACTAAAAACACCGATCCAGGCTGAGACGTTTCGCTCGGTCTCCAGATCGAATGTACCTTGGGTGTCGAGGTAGAATATCAGACACTAAAATGGTGAAATATGTATAATCTTTTGAACGTGACTGGCTGATATGGTTAGCGGCAAAATCTTAGTATTTGTGGCTTGAAAAACTTACGCCATTGACTTCGACAGGTGCGCGCCGGATCAGAATCCCTTGCGTGCAACGGGAGTAGCCGGTTTGGAAGTTGCCGCTGAAAAATTGGGATATGTATACTCTTTATGCTACCAAACCTGATAACCTTATCCTGTGTTCTCGTCAAAAATGACAGAGCGAAACTTTTGCCGCTTCGCGACGGCCCCATGATACTGACGACGGTTTTCTGGAAAGTTAGCGTTTTTCAAGCGATACACTTCGCACGAAAAACGTATATTTTCTCGTGATCGTGGAAAAGTTTCAAACTTTCTCTTCGAGATTACCTTTCGATTAGCATATTGAGGTGCCAACAAACTCCATTTCAAGACGTCCGCATGGAATTGCACCGCGTTGCCCTCGAACGACACCAATAAATCCCAAGGAACCTAATGAGGCTGTGATCCATTTAGTTTACTACTACCTCTGTTCCGCCTTCCTCCGACATTTGCTTAATGAAATCTGTAATGTCTTTTAAAGGGATAGTTCAGCCTTGGAGCTTGGGCATTCCCTTGGGCGACTATGGTGGGGCGACACAGGCCACCAGACCCCCCTGCCTCGATAGTCAACCAAAGTACTGCTCAAGCTCCAAGGCTGAACTATCCTTTTAAAACACGAAAATACAGATGTATTTGATTAGGTATATTTCTTGTGCAAGGGATTATCAAAAAATCACGAATTTATAGCAACATGGAGTAGATTTTATCAAATTCTGCGGCTGCTATTTAGTTGATTAGGCGCTTATAAAACCCAAGTAAAATCGCATTTTAAGGAAATTTATATAGTTTTTGTATGAGAGTAAAAAGGGAAAGCTTTTGGGGGCGCAGTAAACAAGCCCTCGTTCTTTATCTCGCCGCATTCGCGGCCATTTTCTTGCAGCAAAATTTGGTCATCTGCGCTTTTGCAGATCGATTCAGGGACAGGAAATATCTTCTGCAATAAATTGGATCGATTTTTAGGGTTGGAAGTGGTTGGTCGGGGTGAAGCTAAGAAATAGATGTTTTGGTTTAACTTTAAAGATCAAATTCGAAAACCAGAATCCTACACAGCAAACTTTGAGCAGTTTTCTGTGGGCTAAAACACTGGTAAATTATGGATTTTGTGATTATTTGCTTGGATTTGATTCGTCGATGATTTTCAAAACTTTTATTGTACATACAGTCACATAAATCCAATACAGTCAGGTGAAAGACTATAAAACTCCAGATTGTGTGTTATTTTTAGTTCAAATAATCGAACGTGATGGAGCATCAAGAATGAAAGAGTTGTTGCTTGTATGATTGCCGAGAAGCCCGGAGTAGATGCGCTAAACAAGATTTGCAATTTTTGTTCAAATTGTATTGATGTGCATTTTTGCCATAACCTTTATTATTTGGCAGTGTTCCGGGCTGAAATTTCAGGTCTCGGTATATTTTTTGGCGCACTGTCGAATGGTGTCTTCGAAACATCGGAAAAATGGCGAAAATATCGAAAACTGCGTTTCAACCCCATTTTCATAGGAAATTTTTCTTTATGGTGTATCGTTTTTGTATTATCTTATTTTGGGCTATAATTAAAACTGTTTGCATATTTTTCGTGGTTCAATTGAATAGCGTATATAAGAAATGCTGAAAAAAGGCAAAAATTTCGATAACCGCCTGCGATAAATCCCTGCGCCCGGGCAAGTCGAATAGTACCTGTTTTGCTAACAGTGCGGTGACGTTCTAAAGCCCGACAAGCTAGTTACTTAAAATTTAACCTGCTGTAGGCAAGGCAAAACTGACCAAGAATCCACGCTGGTCTTCTTGGCGAGTGCACCCGAATAGACCATCAAGCATCTTGGCTTTAAAGCGTGCTTGCGCCTCCAGAAGCGTCCGGTAGTCTTCTTCAGCAGTGGTTTGGCTCGCCTCAACCTTGCTTACTTCAGCAACCCGTTTCTCCAACTCCACAATTTCCTTCTCGAGTTTGCGCTCCAGCGTCTCGCATTCTGCCTCACTCAATCCGTTCTCATGCCAATTTTCCCTGCATCTGTGCACGCACTTCTGCTTCAACTCCTCGAGGAAGTCCGCGCGGTCGGTCGGTTTTCGGCTGTCGTTTGGTTGTCGGCTGCCGGTCGGTTGGCGGTTGTTTGTACACTCGATCTGAAAGCTTAGGCTTAGGCGTAGGCTTAGCCCAGATTTGGGCTTAGGCTTAGACTTAAACCTAGGCTTAGGCTTAGGTTAGGTTTGGGCTTATGCTTAAGCCTTGAGTGTACGCCTAACTTCGGCCTAAGCCTAAAAGCTCTAAACCACTCCTAAGCATAATTCTAAGCCTAACCCTAATCCGGGTAAAATATCTTTTATCACCAACCTTATAGCATTGCTCTAAGAGACCCAATTCATACGACATCGTCTTTTCTGAAGCCTCAGTTCCCGAAATTCCGGGTTCGTCGTGCCCTTCTCCCGGTTTCGGAGCCATGGTCAACGGGACTTCCTAAACACCAGTGACGCTTTAAGAGCACAGTCGATAAATTATAATGTAAATTAACAAAATCAATTCTTAAAATTATTATTTTACACTTTAATTTTAAACAATTATTCCAATAATTGTTGGCTAACGAGTACAAAATGGTCTGAAATACCGATCGTAAGCGAAAGCGATTGAACGACATTTCAGCGACACGTGAAAAGAGTGCAGAGTGAGCGGAGAGCCCAGACAGAGCTCTGCCTGGTCTCTCCGCTCCCTCCGCACTCTTTTCACATGTCGTTGTCCACAGCACTGACAAGCTCCCGAGGACAGTATCAGAGCTTTCAATATAAAAGCCAAATTTGGGACGCAAACACCTATACAAAGTTTTGCGGGTTCTGAAGTAAAAATCTTTATTCAGAGCATCGAAAAAATAGATCAGCTCCAGAAGTCCACGTTATTTTATAGTGGGTTTTAAATCGGGTAGACGATGGTGCTCGGGTGGCGTGGTGGCGGATCACAGATTAATAGATGTCTGCGTCGGAGCTACGTCGTCGACGCTAAACAACGATTTCTGCATGCGTAAGAAAATCACCCTAATGTCATTCAAAAACATCAAAACTGACCCAGGATAGTCGCCCCTGATCCTCCTCGTCGTTGAAGACGGAAGTGAGCAAGTTATTAAACAAGTATTTTGTTCAAAAGCGGGATCAAATACCTTTGTACAAGAGAAAGGGAGTGAGTGATTCGTATCGATTCGGGCCGACGGCGCGGCAATTTCCTTGCATCACATTTTTCGATGTGTCACATCGCGTTCCCTCAGCGTTTTTTTTAGCGAACATCGGAAAAATTACAGAAAACCGTTCCGCAAGAAATTCTAACGCTTTCAAGGTAAAATATTTAATTTTAAAATCCAAGAATTCTAGAGGTTTTTTACGGTTTTCAGTTTTTAGGCTTCCCGTAACTTTTCGTGTAAAACCACCATTTCGTTTTATTAGTATTTGATTGCATCTGGTTTAACGATCGTATTAAAACTTTTATTGCTTAAACTCAAACACATATAAGTTGTATAACCGTTTTTCAATGAAAGGCAAGAGCAGTTGACAGCCCGTAAGCATCGAATCGAACAAAAATGAAGAAAGAACGGTTAGTTAATGACTTTTGTGATGGCAGCAACCGTCGTGGTCATCGTGATCGAGTATTGCCTCTTGTTCAAAGTCGATAAAGTATCTAAAACATACTCTGAATAGTAGCCTTAATCTGTAACTAAGTATACACAAAAACTTAAAAAACTGACCGCTCCTTCGCAATCCTATAGACCCATCTCGTCAAAAAGAACGTGAAAATCGATAGTAGCGCGACGATCGATACCAAAACTGTGCATATTTGGGCGTCTATAACAAAATAAGGTTGTTGTAGCTTTAATAAGCTAATATTTACCATTTTCCCATGCGAGAATTGCCATTCGTTAAGAGTAGTTGTAATTTGAAGCCTGGATGATTTTGTATGACTAAAAATAGGCATAAATATGTAATTTTTCTAGAAATAGTTGGAAAGCAAGAAAATTTGTGTTTTTGAGAAAGCTATAAAAAAAGGAAGAAGCGCCGCGTCTTTATAGCTTTAAATAGCCATATTATGGAAATCCTCTATAAAACTAGAATTGTAATAAAGAAACGTATCCTTTGGCGGGTATTTTACCATTACTGTGCATAAAATTCGTTTCAAAGGACAGTTTATTCCAAAACAAAAACCATCTACTCTGCCGACTAAACCACCAGGGAACGAATAAAAATATATTAATATAAAGTTCACGAAGAAAATAATATAATATAGAACTTTATCAAGTCTGATATGCGAAAGCCGTGTGTTTGTCAAGGTATAGTGAAACGGGGATTGAGATTCATAGGGGGAGATTTTTTTTTCTTTTCGAGATCGCAATGAGTAGCTGTGCGGAGATCCTTGGGGGAAATGGGTTACGCCAGATATTCTGTGGCCGAGCGCCCGTGGTGTACGGTAACCCATGGACCGGCAGGGGCGCGAAATAGAATAAAAATAAAAACTGGGGATGACATTGGGAAATTCGGATAAAATAACGACTATTAGAGGCCTAACATCTGCGGGAAGAGACGAGACATCGGATTTTTTGGGTCTCGCTTCGACTATTCGCTTTTTTTTGTAACGTCAAAAGCTAATAAGGTTTAATTATTCTAATTATCGATAAAAATAAAGCTTGTAAAGTTATATTTTATAAACATTACTTTGGAAAGATCCTAGTATCTATAATTGCATTAATGCGCCCTTGGGCAGTTCAGATCATCGTCAGGAAATCCAAAAATGATAAGATAATCACTTATGCACTATAGCGTTAACACCTAAAGCTAAACGATAGGTCAATTAATCGATAACTTTCGATAATTCAAGCCAGACCCTAAAAATCAAGAAAAGAATGGCACTGGGAGGAGAAAGGACAATTTCAAGAGGTTTAGCTGGGAGCTGGGAGCTGCACCAAAACTAGTAATCAGAGTGTTAGACGTTGCGATAAACGTGCAACGCATGAAACGTTTTAAATTAGCTCCCAACACCCAGCTCCCAGCTAACCCCCTAAAAATTGCCAGCAAAAAAGTCACTCGGGATTGTCTGTGCGACGTGAAATGGCGGAAAAACATGAAAATCTGGACTGGAATGTGGAATGAGCGGTGGGTACGGTATCCGGGTCAGCATATAAAAATCACTAGCGCGGGCAATAAGTGGGTGGAAATGGACTAGCGGAGGGGTGAGATCACAACAAGGAGAGAAGAACATCGGGTGTATCTTATACAAAATTTAGGGCTGCATCTAGCGGTGTGGGTCTGGGTTTTCATCTACAGGAAGGTGCCCCACTTCTCGAGGAGTTCAGCCTTCAGGTCGGCGCCCATTAGGCGATAGTCCTGGTCGGCGGAGAGGGAGCTGGAATTTTGTTTTGATGTTGGAACTGCTTTGGATCCGAAGCCGAAGCCTAAGCCTAAACCTATGCCTATGCCTAAGCCTAAGCTTCAAACCTCTCAAAGTACTCACCGAAAAACGTCAATCGAAATCGATTCGAACAGCTTCTGCTTGATGGTGTTCATCTTCAGCTGTTCGGCCAGCCGGATGGCGTGCATTACGGAGTGGTGGGGCAGCTAAAAATAATAGTGTATTTTTTGGCGAATTTGTCTATTCCCTCCCTCATTCTTTCTCTCTCACTCACTCCCTCTCTTTCTCTCTCGCTCTATCTATCACCCCCTCACTCCCTCTCTCTCTCTCTCTCTCGCTTTCTCTCTCTCTCTCTCTCTCTCTCTCTCTCTCACCTTTTCAGCTATATACTTCTCACACGTCTCAAACACCGTCATGAATTTCAGCTTCTCTGCCATCAGCGCCACCGAGTCGATGTTGGAGGCTAAAAATTGTGCCTGCGTTTTAAATTTTTTTTCAATTTTTCAAAGGCCATTTTCGATGTCATATACAAGTATATCCTACTATATATAAAAAAGTAGTGTCTGTGTGTGTGTCTGTGGACACTTTGCATAAATGGCGCGAAAAAACCGGGTTACCAAGATATCGGGACGGGGGAAGGGTTTTCGGGCCCAGTTGAATGGTATTTACGGGTATTCGAGGGCATAGATTACTGCCCGCTTATCAGATTTTTAAGAAAATGACTATTTATACCTTATTTTAGTGTTTTTAAAACATATGGAAATGTCCTCATTTGCATACGAGGCGCTAGGGGGCTCATTTTGGGTTTTGTCACGCTCTCAGTCGGTCGCTTTTGTCATTATTGGGGTTGAGAGGTTTGCACTAATTCGCTAGAATTATGCAAAGCGCCCAACCTCCCATGATCCCCGCACAAAGGCCAGGGTTGAGAAGCCGCGTAGCGGCTTTTCAACCCTGGTACAATCTAAAAACCCATTAAAATTACCGTTCAAAAATCCCGGATTGTTATGGGCATCCAAGAGGAGTTGGAATTCATTTGGGTCAACGTCGACGTGAACGTCGGTCTGAATCTGGGGGTACTTGGAGTTACAGTATTCGCTTACGTCATTCATCTCGTGGAGCTGGAAGAGGGAGGCGAAGTAGGGTGACGAGCGGGAGAGGGCCTAAAGTTTGGAAAATAAAATTATAAACTAAAAAAATTCATACCGTTCTCGAGACGGCAAACTTGACTTGGCCGACGATAATTACGGTATCCTCGGTGTTGAGGTCGATTGAGCTGGAAAGAGCTAGTTGGTGAGAGAGAGCGTAAGAGTTCAAGAGAGATAGAGAGAGAGAGAGAGAGAGAGAGAGAGAGAGAGAGAGAACGTACTCCTTATCCGAGTCCGATCCATGGAACGCCTTATGCGGGCAGCTCTCCCGCTTATGCCGCTCCAAATTCCACTCCGACGAGTAGGTCTTGTCGCAGTGCTGCAAAATGAAATACTGAGTAAGGTAACCTGAATTTCTGTCTTTGCACCCTGCCAAATTCGTGTTATTCTCTCTATCACTACAAACGACAAAGTACAAACGGTTTTAAGGCTCTTTTCTTAAATTTTCATGCAGTTTATGCAGATACCGGCGGACCATTGGATACGGTAGAAAGGGCGGGATAGATTTTTTTGCCGCTTTCTGGCGTCTGTATTCTTAATTTCTACTATTTAACCCAATTTCGGTTGTTTGCTTTTAATATTTTGCATAAAACGATACAAAATATTCTAAAACGCTGTATTATAGGCTACAAAATACAAACTACAAAAGTCTGCTTCAGCGCCCAACCCAAGTTGCGACTTCTTTTTTTGAATTTTGATAAAAATGAGCTTAAAGTGAAATTTTGCTGGCGCGAACTACATTGACAATTGTAGTTTGTAGCGCTTAATAAGCCGGATACTTCCTAAAAATTCACGAAAAGCGTTGGATCAAAATACTCACCAAAACCCAATAAAATTGAATTTTTTAGGTTTTATAAAGCCTTAGTAAAATTAATTAAACGAATTAGTCATTTAGCGGCACATTAATGGAAAAACTTACTTTAAATTCGTCAATGTATTACGCTATTTAAATCGTATCCAATAGCCAGCCCCAAAAAAACTCAACCATCACCAACATCACTGCGCTGCACCACAACAACCACCACAATACGCAATTGATTCATTTTAAAAATTTATTCCACAATTGCACGACACAACGATACACGATACAACACTTTACGCACTATAAAAAAGCATAAAAATTTATTAAAATATAAATCTGTGCATACGGTAATCAAAAAAAAGGGCGGGACGAAGGACGAAAAAGGGAGATCGTCTCGGGTGGTTTTCTATATAATGGCAGTGCTAAATAGTTTAATATATTCTTTTGAAAGATTGTGCTAGGTACCCGATGAAAAGAGGAAAACACGGAATTATGTGCGAAAAATTATGTAATAGTTAATTAGGGTATTTCGATGATTTTGTGGGGGGTTCGAATCACAGATTGGATGGGGAGAGGTACACCGGAAGATGAAGACGAAGCAGGGGCTTGGGCTTGGGCTTAGTCTTCGCTTAAGCTTAGGCTAAGGCTAAGGCTTAGGCTCAAGTCGAGGCTTAGTTAAAATTATTATAAGAAATAATAAGAATTATGGCAGGGTATTCGTGCGGAAATGAGTATCGATTTTTCGGGGGCTAGGGCTACAAATAGTAATGACGAAAATTGGGTGCGAGCGGCTTTAAAGGGACTACGAAGGCAAATCCATAGCATTTTCTGACGCTTCACGCCCTATAAAACAACCCCACGAGGCTTTAAAGGAACCTTAAAGGCAAATACCACAACGGTTCATCGAAATTTTGAGCTTTTCTCGCTTGGCAGTCCCTTTTAAACGTCTCTACAATGGCTAGAAGCTAGCGCAAATAGTTTTTTAAGAAGCCGTAGCTACGCAACAATATAGACTACGCAACAATCCACAACACGGCACATGCAAAATAGGGGGGGGGGGCGTGGCTAGGGGCGAGACTAAAATAAAGGCTGATCGAGATCGACCAGGTGCGTCGGTGGCAGATCGTAGTTTGTGGTGACTGCTACACCGGGCGGCACGACAACTTGAAGAAGGGTTTCCGGATCCTGAAAGGACTACACTACTACAAACCACAACGGCGGGACCGCGAGAGAGACGGAGAGAGAGAGAAATACAACTAAATGTGCGATGATATCTATTATCAAAATAAACCATTTCCACGAGGCAACCATGCCCAATGCAAAAAACGTCACGACTACGCACAACTAACTACGCACCACTACGCGGAACTACGGGAAAATGTTGTGGATGCTTGGGTTTAAGCTTAAGCTTAGGCTCATGTTTGAGCTTAGGCTTAGGCCTCACATCCACAGCATTTTCCGGAAAGCAAAAACTATTCCACAAAAGCAAAAATCCCACAAACCTGGCACAAATGTCGGGTCACCGGGGCCGAGAGTTCCGACGCGGAATGGCGACGCTTTCGAGGCTAAAAATTGGTCATCTACCGTATGCTAGAGAGGACTTACGCCTAGAAGATGATGGGGCTGATGATGGTGATGCAAGTGGTGGTGGTGCTCACCACTCTCCGATGGGGACGACATGTTGCTTGGGGAGTGGACCATCGAATCGAAACCGGAGGAGCTGGAAGGGTTGGGGTTTTAAAGAGAGGGCAAAAGCAAATGCGACAATTCCGAGATGTTCAGCTCTCGTTGATGTACGCTACGCTCCGCTTTACGCCTACCGTTGGGTGGTGCTATCCGGAATCGTCTCCTCATCGAGGATCAAACCACCGTCGGTGCTTTGTGGTCGTCGGATGGGCTTGAAGTAGTGCTGAAATAGTGGTGATCTAGGGTGTTTTTGGTCGCATTTATCTAAAGGTGCACGGACTGGTCTGACCACCAAGTCCGCCACTACCGCAATAAACCCGACCACAACCATTTCTAAGGATTTAAAGCTCACCCTCGAAGCATCAGTCCCAAGCCGTGGTCCCTGCCCAATCATCGGGTCCTCACTTTCGACCGAGATCGATCGCTGTGCCTCCAGGATCTTGGTGCAGGTATGACGGTGTCGTCTCAAGGAGTAGTCGGACGACAACACCTTTTGACAGTGGATGCATTGGTGCGTTGTCTTCTTCGGCTCCACCCGCTGGCCCATGGTCTTTGGAAAGCCGGGGGAGACTGAAAAAACATCAGTAATGCACCTTTGCTCTATCTATCTCTTGTCATCGCTCTTGCTCTCTCTCTCTCTTTCTCTCTCTCTCTCTCTCTCTCTCTCTCTTTCTCTCTATCACTCTCTATCGCGTTTAAAGACTTGGCTGGTCCAGTCTTTAACAACCAGTCGACTCACCCTGTGAACCTCGTCGATCGATCCGCCTCATCCCCATGTCCAGCAGACCGGCGTGCTGAAAAAATTCAGATTGAGAGGGAAGTTGAAGTCGCGACTTTCAAAATACCGACAACTTAGGGTCGACAGCTAAAATGCCGACAACCAAAATCCTTAATACCAAAATACCGACAACAAAATGGCCGCACTTATTAACGCTTTATATCGAACTAATGGGCTTTCCCCGAAATTTTAGACTATTTCTTGTCGGGATTTCGACTCTGTCGGCACTCTAGTTTAGCAAAATGTTGTCTGTCGGCATTTTGAGTACCGACATTGCAATTTAAACTGCTATCGAAGGTTGATAATACCTCGTCCTTCGGGTCCTCGGCATCCTCGCTGAAAGTCGTGTCGGCCTCGGCGAACTCGGTCATGATCCGGGGTTCTTGGAAGCGTTTCTAAGCCCATTTTCAAGCAGAGTTTTGAATACTTACAATTTGCGGTGACAGCTGTGCGCCCCACGGCTGCTGGGAGTTTGACGGGATTGGGGAGTTCATCATGGAAGTCGTGGTGAGAAGCATGCCGGAGGGGGATTGCTGGAAAGTTGTTTTTGCATGGAACGAGGTTGTGAGAATGAATTTTGGATGTGTTGCTGTCCATTTAAAAGCGTCGTAAAATCAGTTTAACTCCAGGGAAAAGCGTATGCGTTGCGTATCCAGACACTTAATTTCGACGCAAGTAACGATGCTGCACTTACCAGGCTTGGCGTGCTCGAAGCCGAAAAATCTGTAGTCACGCTCCCGCTGCCCATCGTGCGTGAAATTTCCTCTGGCGTCAACTTGTGCACGGCCATTCGGTGTCGTTTTACGTTTTTTCGACACGAGTAGCTAAAACGGGCGGTGAATCTTACAACGCTCCCTTACTGCAGGGACGCTATCGCGCGCCCCTGCGCCCTAACTACAGTAACCCACCCCACGGCCCCCATTACGCTAGCCTATTGCCTTCCTTTCCAAAAACCAAAACTAAGGAGAAAGAGATAGAATCGAAGCAGAAAATTTGGCTTACTTGGAATAAAGCTATAATTGCGCACTTTGTAAAGCTTAAAGAGTACACGGCCCCTCCTGAACGTGCGCTTTAAATAGTCTTACGACACCAATCACGCTTTCAACATCCTTATGCACTAAGCAGGCAGGATTGAATGGAGCTTCGTCTGCAGTTCGATGTCGCTCCCGGAAGTTCAGGCGCGGTAGTTAATAGGATGTAGCGTTTTTTTACCCAAAGAACAAGCGGAAGATGTTGAGAAATAGGGCCGCGTTGCTTGTAGCGTTTCGAGATCCTTATAAACGACTCCAACCTATTGTTTTCTATTTTTTTTTTCTGGACGACAGCATCGTAGAACTATAGGGATCGATTTTAGCTGCGGAATAATTAGTTAGAATTCTTACAATCTTCGAAGTCAACGCTAACAAGAAGCTTCGGATGAGGGTTTCAGCTCTTTGAGGAAAATAGAATGTTCACATGGACGGCTCTACTCTAATTATTTTTATGAGACAAAACCATTTACTACGTTACAACCGGTTTCTCATTTAAGAATCGGAATCTACCAATTTAATCGCTGACGGCACCCGATTTGCGAAAATTTACTTTTATGGCCTTATTAAAAAAGTGTTGTCCGGGTCAGAAACGATCTGGAAATGCTCAAAATGTAGTCTTCGGACAAAAAAATGACCGGAAAGAAGTGTTTCAGGGCTAAAACTACTTTCTTTACTATACATAGACCATAAAAAACCAACCCCCTTATTCTACTTCTATTACTGAAATGGAAAGGTTAGCTATTTGCCATTCCATCGTAATCTTATTTTTTCCTTCCTTTTGTTTCTTTTTTCTTTCTCCTTAGTTTTGGTTTTTGGAAAGGAAGGCAATAGGCTAGCGTAATGGGGGCCGTGGGGTGGGTTACTGTAGTTAGGGCGCAGGGGCGCGCGATAGCGTCCCTGCAGTAAGGGACCGTTGTAAGATTCACCGCCCGTGTAGCTAAACGTACTCAATTTTTGGTGATTCTTTCGCTCGCTGTCTCTCTCTCTCTCACTCTCTCTCTCTCTATATTCCCTAACTCACGTTTTCAAGCACTCTGGACACTGGAACCTTAGGTCGACCTCTCGGCCTGCGGTTGCCGCCACGGCTTGGAGTTCCCTGAAAGAAAGAGAAATTCGTAAGCCGTAGTTTATACCTTTGATCTCGTATAGAGTTCAAAAAGGTACTAAACCTACCTATTACCGCCGGGAGATAGTTGGTGCTGAAGATTCGGCGAGAATTGAGGGGAGAACTGAGCTTGCTGATGATGTTGCTGGGAGGACTGCTGGGTGGGCTGATGGATGGAGTAGGGCTAAAAAGGGACGGTTTTTAGGGAGAGAGAGAGAGAGAGCGAGAGAGAGTGGGAGAGCGAGAGAGCGAGAGAGAGCGAGAGAGATAGAGAGAGAACGAAAGAACGAAAGAAGATACTTACCGTTTGCTGATGTCTTTCCGGTGCATCGATGTGCGAGACGTAGTAGGTGTTTTCGCTTCTAGCCGACTGGGGGGAGGAGAAGACGATGCGATCGCTAAAAATGACGGCATAGAGGTGTTCAGCTTAAGCCAAGCCGAAGCCTAAGCCAAGTCAAACCATTTGATCTTACCTAGGCAATGGTTGTGTAGTAATGATGCTGTTGAGGGGTTGCATGGACGTTCTGGTGGTAGGGAAGCTGGTGGCCGGAAGGGGGTGTGAGGAGACGGTATGGCGGGGTGGAGGGGAGGAGCTGAAATTGGTTGTTAAAATTACTTTTCTATCGCTCTCTCTCTCTCTCTTTCGCTCTCTCTCTCCACTCACGTGTCAAGCGCTGCCCGGAGCGCACTATTTTGTTGCTGGCCGAGAGGAGTATTATTGTTAGCAGATTGTACAGGGGTTGTATGATGGAGATTGGGGACCAAGGTGTGGCCGTTGATAAGGTTGACGGTTGGGTCGAATTCACTAGAAAATCATTAGGTTACGTTAAACTAAAGTACGCACGCTAACGATCGAGAGAGAGAGAGAGAGAGAGAGAGAGAGAGCAAGACAGCGAGAGTGAGGGAGAGAAAGAGAAGTGAGCGAGAAAAACACGAACCCCTCCCGTTTCTCCTTGAGATCGTCGTCGAGATCACTGACGTCCGTAGCCGAATTGAAACCATAGCTATAAAAATCGTAAAGGTGAGGTTACGGTGACCAAAAATTACTTCCCAAATCCAAGAAAAGTAGGATTATTTGAGTGAAAGTGCCATCAGCATTCAGTTAGTTTTCAAATCCAAATTTGGGCGATTTTGGGTTGGGTAGGCTTGGGCTTGGTTTAAGCTTAGGCGTAGGCTTAGGTTTAGGCTTAGGCTTGGGCTTAGGCTTAGACTTAGGCTTGGGCTTAGCCTTGGGCTTTGGCATAGGCTTGGGCTTAAGCTCAAACTACCCAAATTCACCAGAATCGTAAGAAATTTCTCGCAAAAAATCGGGGAAATGGAGGGTTTACAGGTGTGTGTAAGTAATAGGTGTGTGTCCACCACCAAAATACCGGAATGCGCACCCGTAGTGCTCGTCCACCTCAAAGTCGGGCCCATGGGGACCATCGGACATCTCCTCCTCGAGCTTGCCGCCGCCCACGTCCAGCACGTCGTGCCCGTTCATCGCCAGGTGGCCGGTGGCGGGGCCTGGACAAGGTTGTAAACGTATTGCTGATGTTGCACAAACCATTGACATATGGCTGCACGTAGTGCTGGTAGTTGTTGGTGGAATGTGAGCGTTGGATGGGGGCGGGGAACTGCGGGCCGTTCGTCATGTGGGGTGGGGCGGAACGGGGAGGGAGATCACCCTATACAAAGAATACAGTATTCAACAAAAAATCAATTACCTCGCTCATATTCCGTTGCATGTTCTGCTGGATATGGGCTGGGATGACGTTAGGCAGGTGGTGACCGTTGGGAGGTGTCTGTTGGAGTGGCTGGGCCCCCAGCTGCATCCCCTGCTGAACGATCTGGATCCCCGGCTCGAAACGCTGCTGAAAAACATACGTTTGACGATTTATTCATTTTTTAAAAACTGTAGAATACTGGATTAACTTAAGAATCTTTTAATACTAGAAAAAGAAAAATTCTTCAAAAAGTGAACCTTGAAAAATCCTACCAATTGCTGTCCGGCTTGCTGTTGTGCCTTGAGGTGATCCCCGACGGTTACTTGGATCTGAAAACATAAATCGATAAGATGCGTCAAAATAATGCTTAGGCTTAGGCTTAGGCATAGGCTTAGACTTCGGCTTAAGCTTATCCTAATGCTTGGCTTAGGCTTAGGCTTAGGCTGGGGCTTAGGATTAAACCCACAAATTTCCCCTCCAACTCTGGATTCGCGCCGCCTTGAACAACCACAAATCGGCGATCCGGGCACTCCAAGAAGTTCGGCTTGGCTGGCGAGCCGGCCTCACTCGTCGGCGTCATGTCGTCGGTGCTGAACAAATATTCAATTTTTCCGTGCGTAATTATCAAGGCAAGCTAGCAGAGATTCTTTAAAATATCAAGGTATTCGTAGTAATTTTTAATGCTTTTGTCGATTTTAAAGCTCTAAGACTCACGAATTTCCGCCAGCTTTACAAGTTGCTCGATGGCGCTTCAAATTACTCGTCGAGCATAGCTGCCGACTGCAATCGGGGCACGTCGTGTTCGCCAAGTTCGAGCCGGAGCTGAACAGGTTGTGTAAAAATCTGTTACGATACTATTAACGATTTTCGGGGTTTTTTCTTTTTTTTTGAACTAGAGAAATTTAACAAGATTTCTTTAAAAAATTTTAAAAACGGGGAACCAAATTTAAAGCCGATCTCAAGCAAAAGCCAGCCATTCCACGATGCACCAAATTACGACACGCTACGACGTACGTACCACATACTGACGACAAGCCAAACCTGGAGGAGCTGTCAGGGCTGGCGGTCCGGTCGGCATCCACATCCGGTTCAAGGTTTTCGGAAACGGAACCGGGATTCTGTGGCAATTGTGGCTGGACTGCTTGAACTTGTGTTTGCTGCTGAACCGAAGCCTGGACGGCTTGAACTTGTTGCTGGTTTCGCATCGGAACCGGAGCCTGAGCGACTTGAGCTTGAGCCTGGGCTTGGCCTTGGGCCTGCGGTTGAACGGGTTGAACTTGTGGCGGAACTTGGACGGCTTGAGCTTGCTGTGAATTTTGCATCTGCCGTTGCGCATGGGCCCCCTGAATTTGTTGGTTGGCTTGCATCTGGCTTTGTGAGTGAACCGCTTGAACTTGAGCCGGGCCCTGCATTGGGTGTTGTGCCTGAACTCCTTGGTGATGCTGATGGTTCTGCAGCTGCTGATGAGCTTGGACAGCTTGAATTTGCTGGGGATTTTGCATTTGATTTGGCCCCTGAACGGCTTGAATCTGTTGCCCCATCTGTTGCTGCTGCATCACAAAACCGGGATGAATATTTCCAGGCTTCACCATTTGCATAGGGTGGCCATTAGCATGCATCGTCGCCGGACCGGCAATCGGGCTGAGGAAGCCGTTTCTCGGCTCGACTTGCTGAAGTTGAGGTCTCATCTGGTGGTATCCGTTTGGGGACCTAATTGGCATATTGTTCGGTTGGGGCTGCTGATTTGCATACGGGAATTGTTGATAGGGGATGGGTGGGCGGGGCTGGAGATTTTGATAAATCGGGCGATTTTCGTACGGGGACCAATAGTCAACACCCGCTCCCTGTAGATGATCAAGCTGGGGCTGATAGCCGGCAGCCGGATTACGGTACCCTGGGGGCACGTCATAAAATTCCGGAGCCGGTTGGGGAGGTGGATATTGTGGGGATTCCTCATCCGAAAACGGAAACGCCGGCCCCGGATGTTCCATGTACGACTCGGCGGGCTTTTTCCGGATCCGCTTGCGGCCCGACTCGATGGCGTTCAGCCGCTGCTCCTCGTACTTTTTGCGGCGCACCTCGGCCTCGGCCCTGGAAATTTGGACGACTACACCAGGCTACGAACTACACGAAATGAGGAGAGGGGGAATTCGAGGGGCGGTTGGTTGTGATTTTTTTAGACGGTTTGAATAAATTCAACTAGATTTTTCGATATTGCAAGTGTACTACATATTAATGTGTAAATATAGACAGTTAGAGAGTTTAAAAATAGACAAATTAGGCAATGACGTCTAAAAAACAGGTAGCTTGTTTTTTCAAGGGAAAATCGCCTAAAAATTGCTTTTCTACGATACGATACGATTTTTCATGTTTTAATGATTTTTATCAAGGTTTTAATTATGGAAAATTTGAGCCATAATAGGCGGATTTTTTAAGGGTTTGCTAATCCAATTTTAACGATATTTTCACTGCTAGATAATTTGCATAAACGTTCTCAATTCAGGCACAAATGGGCAAACGACCAGCGCATTATTATATGCTTTATTAAAGGTATTTCCGTGGGTATAAATTAGGCTTTAAGCGAGGATTTCGATACCTAAATGAAGCAAGAAAGGTGATAAATAGAAGTAGGAAAAACAGGGTATTAATGGACCGCAACAAGTTCAACGAGATCAGCCAATTTCCGGACAAATTTTCGACTTCCTAATCCCTTTAATCCAAGAAAAAGAAAAAAACTGCATGGAAATGTAGTGAATGGTTTAGTATAATTGATCCCCGCCCTTTAAATACGACTAAAAAGCGACTCCGCGCGCGTGATTGTTTGCCGATGAGCGGCCGGGCGGAAAAGAAATTGTGTGTGGCTGCCATGACAACGCCACACTACCTAATGGCGGGACAACAGAACGGGGAAATTGCCAAAAAAGGTTTCGTTAATAGGGTGCATATAATATATGGGTTTTCGGCTATTTTTAACGATTTTTACGACAATAATGCAATTTTTTAGATCGAAAAATGTCAAACTTTGCTCATGGTAATGTTAATTTCGGTATATTGCTAATTACGATACCCAGAAAATTAATATTATGCTACATAAGACTCGATTTTTTATGTAAATTCGATCTCCAGGAGCTTTGGCAAAAGCCTCACGAGAAAAAGCTGTTCTCCGATGCGAAAAAATTTTATCTTTTTAAACACAAAAATTAGCATGAATTTACTAATTTTCTCTATCAGGCTGTGCTATTCACGAATTGTGTAATCGTGTAAGTTTGACGAATTTGGGCCCGAAATTAGCATAAATGAAACCAGCTCTTTCGTATGCAATATGCAATCCGCGGCGAAGGAGAGAGAGAGAGATGAGTCATTTTTCACAGGGCAAAGTGTTGCCGCGTAGTCCATGTTGGCTGACTGCCATTACACTTGGCAGCGTCAGATTGCCCTCCTGCCCTTCGTGCCAGCCACTAATTATGAAAATTCTCTGAGGCGCGATATGCTAATTGCGGAATTCCGGGATTAGGGTAATTATGGGATATCGAGACTACATTTTAATAAATACCTAACTCTTAAAATCTGATAAAGCAGGAATTTTGTAAATTATGCTAATGTTTATATACCATATGCTAATTGCCGTCTTTTGGGTTTTAGGTAATTTCGAATACCCGCAAATAGATTGGAAAAAAACGCCCCTTAAATTTAAATGCATGTTTAAAAAATACGAACCCTCCTACCTTATTTTCTCACCTAATTTGCATAAATTGTCATAAGAACTCCTTAGTTACTTTTTGTAAGTAGTCAATTTTTTATGTATTTTTGGCAACTTAAAAAATTTTAGTTACCTGATTTGCATATATTTCTCTAGATTGATAGTGTCTAAAGCGTATCTAGAATTTAATTTAACTAATTTGCATATACATTTTAGTTTTAAACTAATTAAAATGGAACTTATCCTAAGATTTAATTGATCCAAATTTCTAAGATTTATTTTCCATTTCACAACCAACCGCCGGAAACCCATTTTTCCACAATACAACAGCCTTACAATATTCAGCGCCGCATGCAAGATATTTAGATTTTTTAAATGAAAAACCATATCAAGATCCTGAACCCACTTTTCCTGCTCTAAAACATGTGGAAATTGCTGGGCGAACGGCTTGCAGGTGGTATGATGTCGTTTTAGTGATCGTAGGGAGGCCACACTTTTCTGGCACGCCTCACACCTGACAAAATTGATTTTAAACATATTCGGATAAATTTTACTTTCTTGCTGTTTTTAGATAAGCAGCAACGTTATATCTTTATTAGATAAATTTAATAAAGGCCAAAAACTGACTGAAACTGTCCAATGGAGCCATTCGTATCACTGCATCGACTGGCGCTGCCGCTGTCCCCGGAGCCCATCTGAAAATTAGCAATTTAAATCCACTTGAATGAATAGCCAGAAAACTGTCTAAAACCAGATGGTTACAGTCGCTTCGCGACTGCAGCCATCTGGCCTTCGGGCTACCCTACATGTCCCACTCCACCACATCCTTTCCCACCTCCATCAATACCCCCCATGGCTGAAATCCCCTTCAAAAACTACATCGATAACTTCCCGATGGCTTTAGATAACCCCATGGCTGAAATCCCCTTCAAAAACTACCTAAATACCTTCCTGATGGCTTCAGATACCCCCATGGCTGAAATCCCCGTCAAAAACTACATCGATAACTTCCTGATGGCTTTAGATAACCCCATGGCTGAAATCCCCTTCAAAAACTACCTAAATACCTTCCCGTGGCTTTAGATAACCCCCATGGCTGAAATCCCCTTCAAAAACTACCTAAATACCTTCCTGATGGCTTTAGATGATTTAAATAATTAATTAACATAATTAAAAAGTATTAAAAAGTATTAAAAGTATTAAAAAGTATTAAAGTAACTTAAAAAAGCCATCTGGGCGCGGGAAGAGGCCTGGGGAAGAGGGGCGAAGGGAAAGGGGGCGTGGCCTCCCGGGAGAGGGGCCCCACCCCTTTTACTAAGGAAAAACTTTCAAAGTTAATTTTAATAATTTAAACAAAAACTTTTTCTTAATTTTTTTATCAGTTTGGGGGTTTCTGACCACGCTCTATCCCAATCCGAAGAGAGCTAAGCTCTAGCTCCTTTCACCTTCGAGTTGAATTCGGCTTCAGACGGACAGACAGACGGACAGACGGACGGAGACCACAGCAAAATTATTATAGTTGATAAGCTTATAAAAATGAATAATCTTTTAAATTCAGAAAGATATTTAAAATACCTCATCCGAAGGTGGCCTTTCATCGTCCATCGACATGGGGAATCCTTGGCTATCGTCCAAGAGCCCATTTGAGTGATAGCTTAAAAGGTGAAAAATTAGCAATTTATTTAAGCTCTATTTAATATGCGTTTAAATTTTCGTAGTGCCTTGACAAACATTAATTAAAAATTTAACTTTCGAGAACCTCAGAAAATATTACGAGATCTGGTTCTTCGATTTTCGAAGTTTATATATTTTTATTTAATTCGGTTGAAAAGTGCCGACAATTAATATTTAAGTTTTACATCATAAACGTTATGCTTTTATATGGCTAAATAGAACTAAATTAAATCGTTAAATTCCGTGAAAACTCCGGCGAGAAAAGGTAGAAAATGCGATGCTTTTTTCGAACAGTTGTTGGCGTGTCTTTTGCTGGCATCCTTTAACGGCTTTTTGCCATTATAACGGTAATTACAGTAATCCAGGAAAGTATAAAGTGTAGCTTTTAATTTATCAAGAACTTACGAATATCCCATGTCGTGATGATGGCCCATGTGAGGCTCAAGATGATCGGCAAAGGACAATTCATGGCTTGGTGTGTGGACCACCGTCTGAAAATTCTCTCCATGAAATCAGGATATTCAATCTCACCACGCTGCCCTCATCCCTAGACGGTGGATGGGATACCGTATCCCTGATTGAGGAGGCTGTCGAGACGGATGATGATCGGGGGGAGCACCACTCCGGGTAGCCGGGCTCTTCCTGAAAAGGGGACTGTAGAAAAGGTAAAATATTGGCGCATTAATAACATGTTAGTTTCTCTTTCTCGCTCCCTCTCTCTCTTTCACTCTCTCTCTCTCTCTCTCTCTCTCTTCTTCATTCTCTCGCCCTATACTGTAGCCAGCATTTGATGCAACCAAAAGAAGAATATTTTTCTCCAAGAATCTCTGCTAGTTTGCCCCAAAAACCTAAAACTCACCCTCCTCACATACAGCGTTACAGGTTGCGGATTGACGGATGAAACGGCCGCCATATTTGGCACCACCCCCGCTGCGATACTCGGCGAGGAGGGGATCAGCCCGGATGGTGTGGTGGGCTAAAAAAGTTATTAAATGCCTTGGGCCAAAAAAGAGACACAGTCTAAACGATAATCTTGTAAAATCATGGCGGCACTGTTCCTTTAAAATCTGGAAAAAGCACAAAAATGAGCAGGACTGAAATAGTCGAGTTTTTTGTCGAAAATCCTCGTGTCTCTGTCCCTTGAAAGTCGAAAAACAATGAATTCAAGAAACCTTCAGGAATTTGGCTAATTTGCATAAAATTAACTGGCCCGACCCTTTTAAAATGGATTGTCAATAGGTGAACTAAATAAAAGGCTGAATTCGGCTTGGGCTGGCTTAGCTTACGCGGAGCTGAGCTTTCGCTTGGATTACGAAGGAAAAACCCAAAATGCCGAACCACACCAAATTCCGTTCAAAACCAATATCCTCAAAAAATTGCCATCAAATAGGGTGGCAAATCGATGGCAGGGGGATCGAATCTATCTATCGAATCTCCGCCCCCTCCACTCCGAAGCAGCCGAACTCCACTTTTTGCCGGGCCAGCCCCGGGTTGGATGGCGAGACCGGTTTCTCCCGCGAGACTAGAGCGAGAGAGCGAGAGATAGAGTGAAAGAGAGAGCGAGAGAGAGAGAAAGAGAGAGACATAATTGAAGACCTGATATATTTATAGGGTTTCGGGACAAGGGGGAGATGCTTTTCTTGCCGCCTCTCAAACTATCTTTGTGTTTTGGTCAAGCTTGTCAGAGGGGTCAGTGGTCGAAAGAAGCCTGGGTGCCTTCAATGATTTAAAACGTTATTAATGCGCCTGGATATAAAAATAGAGAAACAAGAGAATGGTACTGTATCGGAATTTAAAGCGGCAGGCAGGGCTCGGATGTGGATTGCCCATTGGTTCTTTCAAGTCTAGAGTCCTCTCTCTCTCTCTCTCTCTCTCTCTCTCTCTCTCTCTTTTTCCCGCTCTCTCACCCTCTCGGTTTTTTGATCCTCTGCGCTACGGGAATGTACCGTAGGCAAAAATCTTCGCCTCCTTCGGTAGAGCAAGAATGCCAAAAATTTGCGGAGTTCGAAAATACAAAAATTGCGACAAACGTTGTGTAGGAAATATGGTAATCCGGAGAGGTAGAACGAGATTTTAGTAGAAAAATATCCATTCGACGGATCGTGAAAAGACCAGAAAAATTCCAAAACCTCACCTGTGAACAGTGCGCCTGCTGTTGGGGCAATTGTAGCGGCTGCGGGAGTGGAAATTTTCGAGTAGCCGGACAGGACTGGCGATGTCGTGCCAAATTCCTGGTGGAGGAGACCTGAAAAACATGGTAAAATCATGTATCATATTATAGTAAGTATGAAAAAATTATGATACATATAATGCTTTAGATCATAATACGGAAAGTGTAAGTAGGTGACAAGGGGGAAAGCGATTCATAGCCTGGGGCTTTTGCCCCTTTTCTCGTTCTTTTTCACTCTATCACTCATTCTCACTCTCCATCTCCCTTTCTTGCTCTCTCTCTCCATTTTTTTTTGCTATTCCTTGCCCCAATATCGACAAACCTGTTTATTGCAATCGGGGCATGTGTAGACGACCCGGTTGATCACTGGAGGTGGGGTGGTACGCTGCTGTTGAGGGGGCTAAAGTGGAGACATTAATAGACTCAATAGGTATACAATGACCATCGCACAATCATACTTTAGATGGAATTTTTTAACTTAAACAGCTTGCAAAGCAATAGCAAAATGTTGAATCGTATTCGAGCTTTAGGAGACATAGACTTAGAGGTTATTGCTTAACTTTAACCAATTTTAAAGATACCGGTAAGCCAAAAATTGTCTTTGAGAACACTATAAGCATCAATACCTAAGGCTTTCAAGATTTCTAATTTTATGAGTTTTTTTTAAGGGATTGCGAACGTGGAAACAATATAAAGAAGCTGAAAGAGGAGGTAAGAACGAGAGAATGTCGGCGATTAAAAGAGGTTGATAGGGAATGAGAGTGAGAACTAGTGTGTGAGCGCGTTAGCAAAAAAGAACCCAAGGTACCGTTCAAAAATACCTTGCGAGAACGAAAACAAAATTGAACGCTGAAAGACCAAAAAGGAAAAAATAGACAGAGAGTTTGAACGAAAGAGAGAGCGCGAGAGAGAGAGAGAGGGAGATAGAGAGGGATAGAGAGCGAGAGATCGAGAGGGAGAGAGGGAGTGAGAGAGACAAAGATTTAGAGACCCCAGACAAATTCCAGTTCAGTTCCACCTCCCCTCCAACTGAAAAGCAGCGGATCACGGGGCGTGGTACTGGACCAGTGGGGCAGAGAGAGAGAGCTTCTTCCCACGGCGGATCGGATACGGTACAGGGATACGGTTTAGCAATAATTAGCTGGAATTTTGGAATTTTATTGGGCATGAAATTATTAAAGGGACTATGCAGGGAGGATATGGCTAAAAATCAACTTACGATATGTATCGGGCCGGGCCTGGCGTTGGCCTCCATGGCCGCCCGGTGCTGCTTGGTGAGCGAGAGGATTTGGGAGACGTTCCTGTAAAAAAGGTTTAAAAAAGTTGTGAATACAGTATTGGTTTAGCGGGAGAGAGAGTGAGAGAGAGGGAGAGAAAAAGTGATAGAGTGAGAGAGAGAGGGCGAGACAGAAATAGATACAGTACGCAGGATACAGTACCCATTTCCTAAAATACGAGATTGACGCCAATCACCGGATTAAAGTCTAGATAAGTTCAGGCTTAGGCCTTGGCTTGGGCTTAGGCTTAGACTAAGGCTTAAACCTAGGCTTAGGCTTAGCTTTGAGCTTTGATAGAGGCAGAGCACGAGAGTGGGCGAGCAAGAGCGTGAGAGTGCGACAAAAAGCATCGCTGCCAACTAGGTCCTCCGGCCTATAGATAGCATTAAAATACGCGAGAGAGAGAGAGAGAGAGAGAGAGAGAGAGAAAGTGCGAGCGAGAGACAGGGAGTCCCTGAATCCCACTACGAACATTGCCATTTAAACTTGCAAGCCCAACGCGGCAGGCACAAGAGGCGAAATTTCGATCGAGCACCGGGCCCGGGCCATAATCTGCGAGTGTGGCTGTGGCGTGCACACATACAAAACACGTTATGTAAACAGGGGTGGAGGGGAATGGGAGGGAAAAGAAGAGGGGAACCCACTACAACCACCGATCCCACATATATGTGACATTGAAAAGGGGAGCATAAGAGGTCGGCTATAGTCCAAAAGCCAGAGAAGAGGGAGAGCGCGAGAGAGAGGGAGAGTGAGAGAGAGAGATATAGGGAGAGAAGCTAGACTGTTTCAGTTTTAAAGGTATTAGACACGTTCATCTGACGAGATTCGATATGTTTTATTGTCCGATCCCGCTCTAGCTCTTTCTCTCCTCCCTCTGTCGTTCCCTCTCTCTCTTCGTTTTGAAATCTTTTTTATAGATGGGTCTAATGACATCAAAATCAAAAAAGGCAAGCGAGAGAGTGAGAGAGAGCGAGAGAGAGAGAGGGAGAAATGTAGGTAAAGGAGTTCACAATAATACCGTCAAAATAGTACACGTCCTATATTAAGCCACCTCGAAAAGGGAACAATTTGATAACAGCCAGCGAAAATTTTGAGCGCCCGCTCCTTATCACCCCGCGAAAGACATAAAATTGTGAAAAAAAAACAGAATTGGAATGCTGCCAGAAATAGAGATAAATTTCGCAAATTCGGAAAACTTAACATCCCGATTCCAAAACAAGTCAATCAATAATAACCCCGGAATTCATCGAATCGGTGTGCGAGGCGAGGCGAACACAACATTTTTATGCCCCCAATTTTATGAGGAGCCGGGCCGGGGGGCCGAGGCTGGGAATCGGGATTTAGCCACTAGAAAAAGGCTATCGCCCCAGATGGCGACGGTATTTGGGGGTTTTTATCGGTATTTTTGGGGGTGAAAAATAGGGGGACCAGACGTTCTTGTGAAAGTGCCTTGAAAAAAAACAGGAAAAATATGATAAAATTGGGTTCACTGTCCCTTTGGCGGGCGGGAGAGAGGGAGGGAGAGAGTGTGAGAAAAGTTATGCACAGACAGAAAAAAGAAAACTTAGTTAATCTTCGGTTTAGGCTTAAGCTTGGGCTTAGGTTGGGCTTAGCTTAGGCTTAGGTCAAGGCTTAAGCTTAGGTTTAGGCTTGGGCTGGGCTTAGCTTAAGCTTAGGTTCGGGTCAGGCTTAGGCTTATGCTTAGGCTTAACCTTAGCATAGACATTAGCTTTGCAAATAGCTAGTGAAAATCGATTCTGAATCCGTATTTTTCGGGTGAAAGCAAGGATCAAGGTCAAAGGCGAGATGTTTTGCGTGGGGAGCTGAAAATAGCGAGAAAAATGGACACTGGGCTAAGGAATCGAGATGAGAGAAAATGGAAGGGGAATGTGAGAAGAAGATCAGCGAATTTTTGAGCATTTGTGGCTAGCTATGTGTTTCCGGGAGTGGGGTCGAATTAGAGAAAATTGGGGGCTCAACGGGCGTGGGAGTTGATCTTTGGTGTAGCTGTGATGAGGCGGAAGTGATAGCGTGGGTTAGAGGGCTGGGAAGGCTTAAGGTTATGCTTAGGCTTAGGCGTAGGCTTAGGTCTCGGAATAGGCTTGGGCTTAGGCTTGGGCTTAGGCTTTGGAGTAGGCTTAGGCTTAGGCATGGGCCAAGACACGAGCATAGCCTCGCCAGCTTGGTCCTTCCCTAAAAAAGTGTTGATGATGTGGATCCTCGACGATAGATTTATGAGGGGCGAGGGAGAGCGAGAGAGAGAAAGAGAGAGCGAGAGAGAGAGAAAACGATAGAACCAGAAGTTTCAAAACAAAATCGATAATTCATAATATTTCCGATTTTTGGCATCGTTCCAGGAATGAAATCCAGCCCCCACCACGATAATCCGTGTAGCCAGATGGAAATTGATGATTTTCGGATTTATCTCGGAAAGCCAGGGGTTCTAGGATTATCGATTCCCGGGAACGTTTAGTCATCCCACCCCCAGGATTACTGTATGTCCTCGCAAACTCCGAGTACTTGTGGCATGAAAATACAAACTACAGAATTATAGGTTTGAGGGGAAAAGACACAAGTCTCGAGGGGAAAAATTCGGTAGCTAAATGACCGACATGCTAATTGGTCGTTTATAGGTTTTGGCTTAGGCTACGGCATGGCTTAAGCTTGGGTTAGGCTTCGGCTTAGGCCTCGGCTTACGCTTCGGCTTAGGCTTAGGCCAAGGTTTAGGTTTGGGCGCAGAGATTATGGCCAGGATTTTTCTGGCCAGGATTTTTCAACATCTGTTCGGACTTGGGAACTGCCCTGGGGGGTCAGCAATGAATTTTTCGGACATTAATGGAAGAATCGGACAAATTAAAAGAATAATGCTTTAGTTTTTTAATTAACCGTAACGGATCATTTTACAAATGGAATCCATCATCAAATTTCTTGGTGGGGGCGAAAAATATGAAAGTTAGTAGTTTTTAGTTAGTTTTTAGTTAGTTAGTTCATCCTTTAGGTTTAGGCTGAGGCTTAGGCAACCAAAGTCACAGCGAGAGCACAAAAACGCAAGAGATGCAGAGAAATAAGAAAAAAAACCAGCCATCCAAAACCACATTGATAAGCGAGGAGCACGACTCGGAAAAGAAGCCATCGTTTAGCAATCCTGTTTAGCCATCACTCGCCGATCTGGATTGGCACCGCCGATCTATCATCCCAACCGTCCACCCTCGTATCCGAGTGGAATAAAGGGGAGGAGGAGGAAGAGGGATGGAAAAGAAGAGCACGAGGTGGAGGAGGATTAGAATTCGCCCTCCTATCCGTAGGACTATCCTCGACCTTACGCAATCCGCCCAAAAAGCATCCCGGGGAATTCCCGGGGAGGGGGAGACCGGAATTTTTCAAAAGACTGGAGGGTAGTTGGGGTTTGGCATTTAGCTTTTTAACATCTTTAAAAAGGGAGTGAAATTTAGGAAAGAGAGAGAGAGAAGGAGAGAGAGATAAAGAGAGGGATAGCGAGAGAGAGCGAGAGAGAGAGAGAGAGAGAGAGAGAGAGAGAGAAAGCGAGAGCGAGAGTAATGCGGCAAAAAACTTTCCAAAAGCGCTACTGAAAACTCCATAAAGCTTGTGCTTCCAAGTACTTTTTCAGCAATTAACGACCAGAAAAAGTAGAAAAACCACAGAGACTCGGGCTAGCTCTCCCGTGAAGAAAAACCTGTCTCCCAAACCATTGCGCAACCAGAATGCCTTGCTTTCTGGTGCCTCACCTAATTATCTTGCACCAGCCCACGAAAATTCAGGAATTGGGAAGTAGAATGGGGTGATAAGAGAAAAAAGCTGATCGGAGAGAGAGAGAGAGAGCGCGCGAGAAAAACAAGAGAGAGCTATAGAGAGGGAGTGATGCAGAGAGATGAGTGGAAATCCGATATTTTAGAGGATAATGGAGGGGGAGAAGCTAGTCTTGACCCTGACTGGCCTCTTCAGGAACCGGAATGGTCTAGAGCCGAGAGCGAGCGAGAGGGAGAGAGAGCACGGGAGAGAGCATGGGAGAGAGAGGGAGTTAGCGAGAACCGGTAAACGCAATCAAAAATCGTTCAGAAATGTTTAAAACTTAAACATATGAAAAAAGTCGACGTAAAAAGGAAACCGCCAAAATAGCCATTGAAGTTGAGGTGGCATTCAAGTCATC